CTTTTCCTATTATATTTCACATGTATTTACCTGGAGTACCTGAACTGCCAGGAATGACCCTGTCTCATCAACACACTATTTATTAAGACACCAGCTGCTCAAGTTAACACTTCCTGCTCTGGAATATTTAAAGAGTTCTCCCAGCAGTTCCCAACAGATGTGTTTCCACTGCCTGGCCTTCCCAAAATACAAATCTTATCATGTCACTTCCTTGCTTCAATACCTTCAATGGCTCCCAGTGTTCCTAGAATGACAAACAGCCCTGAATGATCAGCTGTTGCTTCTCTATCATCATCAAATAGCACGCTTTCCTGTCCTCTACACAAACCACCTGGACTCCTGGCAGAGCCACAGATCAGATGTTCTCTCCTCTACCTGACACACTCATATCTTTCTCTTTCCTTCCCTTCCTTCCTCTGATTCCTGCTCATCCTTCAGGTCTCACCTCCAGTGAGGCAGTCCTTAACTCCTAAACTCAAGGAGTTCCACTGTGCAGCACACACGTCTTCACAGCCTGTTCTACCACGTGCCGCCTTTGAAACCAATTAATTTATAATCAGGCGTTCAGTCACTCTCTCCCTAGACAAGAAGCTCCATAAGGTCAAAGCCATCTCTGTGCTCAGGATGACACCTCACACTGAATCAGACTCAATATATTATAGCTGACTGGCTGATTTTTTTATCTCAAGGTTCTTGACTGAAGTAGTGAGTTGAAATGTAGACTAAGTAATAAATACACCAAGATTTATAAACTACATCTTTTTTCATATTGTATAGCCACTCTGATTAATAAAATATAAATTCAATGAAAAGCTTTGCTAAATTGGCTGTTTTTTGCTATGTATCTTCTTAATCGATGAACACCAAAAACTCGTCTACTGCATTACTTCTATGATAATTGACTCCCCCCAACACACTCAAAATGATATCAAAAGCAGTTCTCATACTCATGCACCATTAAATGCAACAGTGTAAAGACATCCATAGTTGGGACAAGGCTGTCCATCCATTCAGACTTAGTGGATACAGAGCATAAGTCCCTTTGTTCTGCTTAAGGACAAAAATCAAAGGCACGTTGTTTTGTTTTGTTTGTCTTTTTTAAAAGAGATTTTCGCTATAGGACATGTGCACTCATTGGAGAGACAGAGACATCCCTTCTACTCCATTCTCTTCTCAGGATTTTGGGCCCTTGCACACACATGCCCAGCTTGAGTTTCAAATTATCGAGTCCAGGACTCGAACTGTGGTCAAATATGTGGGAGCCCAGTGATGTAAGCATTACACCAACTGCTGGTCCTCAGAAGCAGTTTTTTAAAATAAAGTCAAATGCTATATCAAAGTCAAATGTTAGTGATAGCATTTAAGCATTTTTTTATATTAAGTACATAAAAAATATCATCGCTGCCACATTAAACTATTGTTTTTAAGATACCAAAAGCTGTAAGAGCTGATTTAAGTATGTAAGAGTTTGCAGGTTTATACAAATATTGACAATAAGACAGAATATTAAATAGATAGACCACCAGTATGTTTGAAACATCAAGTATTTTTGAAACAGCTTTAATAAGGTTGCCAAACAATTATCATTGCACTAATATACTAGAAACTTAAATTTTGCTGCTTTTTAAAAATTGATGGGGTCAGCAGGTGGTGTGGTGGTTAAGGCACTGTACTCTCACATGGCCAATCACGGTTCGAGTCCCACACCTAGTGGCTTGCTTTCTCACTTTCTGTCTGCCTCTCTCTGGTGAGCACCTGTGTCCTATAACAAACTTAAAAATAATAAGGGACCCGTAGATTTCATAATAGTTATGTCACTGGAGTCCCACATGGCCGACTGCAGTTCAAGTCCCAGACCCAGTGGTGTGAAACACACCAGGCACATGTGTGTGTATGCTAAAATCCCAAGAGGAGAATGGAGAAGAGATCACCTTCCCCCCGGGGGCTGATTTCTCACTTTCTGTCTCTCCAGCAAGCACATGCTCTCTAGAGCAAAAATCTCTCTAAAAACATAAATACATACTTTTAAAAAATGTTGATGTAATAAGTAACTGTAAAAAAAAAACTGAGAAATAATCTCTCAAGCTAGACAATTTTAAAATCCAAATGAAATTCCATTCTATGAGTTGCATTAAGCCTGTTAATGCTTCATACACAGTGCTTTACTATAATTAACACTACATTCACAGTGCCCTCTTTAATACAACTTGAGATAAATAAAAACTGTTCCCCACTTATATTAACAAATGGAAATAAACTGAATAGACACAGACTCAGATCCTTTGAAAGTAGGTAGCATATAAATTATACAATAGTAACAGACCAGCCCAACCTTGTACTTCCATGTCACCAAATTGTACCACAAATGAACTTGAAAAATATTTACTAATATTTACTTGGCAGTCAATGCTATGTACTAGCTACTGTGCTAGGACTAAATTAGATGGCATGTATGAAATGTGTAACAACTCTATTGCTATTATTCCCACTTAAGAGGTAAGAAAGTTGAGGCATACAGATGTTAGATGGTCCATGATTCCACACCTAGTCAAGGTGGCAGAGCTAAAAATCAAACCTGAGTCTTTCCACTAAGCTGAGTGTAATGAGCATTCCTGAACATTCTGGAATGACACTTTCAGTCATGCATGCTTTCTGAGGAGAGTTAAGAGAGCTTTCATTAAATCCTAAGAAGCCCACCATTACTCAAAAGGAATCACTGTGCCAAAGCATCACCAGTATAAGAACCAGAAAATGTACACTGGACTTGAAATCTTCCCACCAAGGTGATCACTTCTCTACTTCTGAGGGAAAAGAAAACATGGTTTTGGTTTTGCTTTAATATTCTCAAAGCAATACAAGGTTTCACTCCTGGACAATGTCCAGCATCTTCTGCCACAGGTTAAGTTACACAATAAGTTGCAATACTGTATCAGTTTGCATCCAATTCTGAGATTTCACAAATAGTGACCAATGTTATGTAGTCATTCCACTTTCCAAAATAGGCTTCAATCAACCAATCCTCACTCCACTGCCTAAGAAATAAGCTATCCTTATATCCACTTCCAAAAAAGTAAAATACTATCACCCTGAGGCCAGGCAATAAACCAGCTACAAAATAGGGACCCAAAGTGAGAATTCCCTACCACACCTGACTCCCCCCACTTTCAAGACCCTGTCACTTAACCATGTCACCTCCCTAGTTAGATTGAAAACATAGGGCATCTAACTTTACCATCCTCTCTACCGTAACAATACGAAATTGGAAACTAGTGGCAAATCATTAAGTTAGGACACACCTCCAACTTCCCAGTGACACTGTGCTCATCTCCAGAAACGGAGACAGAAATCACATAGCAAGCACCTGGCCCACGCCTGGAATCTGCAGACGGAAGTATTCCCAGCCAGGAACACTGGTACAGTGCAGAATTTGGTCATCCTTCCGCCAAGACAGAGCTATGGGGGGAGTGGTGCTCAGGAAACTCCTGGCTTCCTCCCTCTAAAATCAATCTGTTTTGTTTGTTTGTTTGCTTGTTTGTTTGGAGAGGTTTTGTTATAGGGTGCCTGAGCTCACCAGAAAGAGAGAGACAGAAAGCAAGAAATCACCCCCCCCAAGGGAGATGGCCACTCCACAATCAACCTGTTATTTTGGATCGACCCAAAGTTTCTGATCTGAAACAGGACCATTAGTGTAGAAATAAACTTTACCTTGAAGTTTCTCATTTTACAGAGTTTTGAACCAATCCTTGGAGGAGTAAAACAAAATGCCCAAGGTCTCACAAATCTGGAACACAGTCAATTCTAGAAACACCTAGACACCTGTCTGGGATCCTTGCAATCTCTGGGGGTTTCCCAAAATGTGCCAGGTTACCACCAGGGGCTTGGCAGATGACCAGATAAGGTTTGCCCCATCTCTGCCAGCCCAGCGCTGCCTCCTCTCACTTTGTCCCAGATCTGGCTGGCCCTTGCTTCCAGGCAGGAGACTCAGGGGGACTATTGTCAGGGGCTGGCCTCCACCTGCCTCTTCTAGGGACAAGGGCAATTATTTACTAAGGCTAACCCCCATCAGAGATGTGGAAAATACCACCCGGGCATTAAAACAATTGATTTCACAAGGACACTATGTTAGGCTATATTTCATTTATGGCCCCACCTGATCAAGATGACTTCCCCACAAGAAATGTCCAAAGCAAGCAACTTAAAGACACGAAGAACTATACCCTTCTTTAACTGTCCTCCAAAAGCAGAAAAAAGTGCCAGGGACAGCAACCAGGAGGACATCAAAGTCATATGCTCCGTGTGTCAGGAAGCGACCACGAATATCCCTCCAGGAAACTAGGACAGACACTCCCTCGGCAACGTAGGACGTTCCCTACTGGGTTTCGGGACCAGAGCTCACCTGGACACCCTGGAAACAAATCCGTATGGGAGCTGCAGCGCTCACGCCCGCGCCGCCAGCGGAGTGCGGGGAGTCCTTCTCTCCCGCAGGACCCTCCCGGTGGGGACCCGTGAAAACTACCTGCAGGTGACCCCAGGGGACCCACCGTGCAACTCTGCGGGGGCCTCTCCCAGCCGTCCTCCATCCCCATCTCCAACGCACCCTTTCTTCCCGTCACCAAGCTCCCTCTGCCCGAGCGCTCAGTGGGAAGCAACGCCCACTTAAGAGAATGAGATCTTAGTTGTGGGCACAAGCCAGGCGCCTCCATTCACCCACCGCCCGAAACAGATACGGACAGGAGGGAGTTTGCTGCTTTAACATTTTAAACACACACCACCTAGCAGCACAAGTCGACGTAGACACACACACACACACAGTCACAGCCGCGGGGAAGTCAATGACCCTCAGGGAGGCTCCTGTCATTGACTCGCACCAAGGCGACCGGGGTCCCGCCCCCTTTCCGGGATACGGGGCGCCTCTGCCGACTCCCACACGCCGAGTGGGAGCTGACGTCGCTGGGCAGCCGGGACTCAGAGGGGGCAAAGTGGGGGAAGACGGGGCCCACCTCCTCGTCCTGCTCCTCCTGGGACGCGCTGCAACCCCGGGGCGCAGGCAGCGCAGCTCCTCCGGGGGGCGGCGGTGCAGGGACTCCACGCTCCAGCACCACGCGCGCGGGAGCCCACGCGGCGGGTGGCCGGGAGCCCAGGGCGCCGCCCGGCGGCGGCGGTGGCGGCA